TCGTGTTAGCAACGTCGCCAGGTTCGAGCCCCGTGAGCTCACCTACTAGTTAAGGCTACGCTGATATAGCCTCTCAAGCTTAGGTAGGAAAAAAAAACACCATTAACAACAGGAGATCTTATAACTTAAATCTCAAGGTGGGTGGAGCATTTACGTTGTGGATATCTATGGGCTCCAGCAACCACTTAACACCAGGTGGGCTGTGTGCTCGTCCACCCATCTGAGCAATAAAAAAAAGGTAGATAAAAAAAGGCGTAACAATAGTTAAACTTTTAAACAAACGCAACATCATCCCTGTGTAGTTTTTAAAGCGTATCTACATTGTTTCCCAGAGCGCTATGACAAATGTCCTTTTTCAAACGAGGCTTGCGGAAACTATTCAATGGTAGGGAGCGAGTTGGCTGTGCCCTTGGCATTGCTGACATCCATGAGCTACGGTAACCACTTATCAGGTGGGCCGTATGCTCATCTGTCTACAAAGGCAATAAAAAGAGCATACCCTTCATACTGTATAAGTATGGTAGCTAAAATTCGTTATTGGGAAATATTCTGGGAATATATCTCCTTTTTATCACCGCAGCTCTGGAGTTGAAGTTGTTGTTGCATTTATTCATAATAACGTCTTCAGAGGTATTTTATGCCACGTCAGTGCTACTCTAATAATCACCACCGTAAAACGTTCTGAGCGCAATAATGTATTCTCCATACTAGATCTTAAAGAAAATTTTAATACTAGACAGCCTTTGACAGTGGTCGTACCTGCTGATTTTCGTAAGCAACGGTGACCACACATCACCATGGGACGTATGCTAGGTTCTTTAATGTGCTCATATAAAGGCTGGGTGTTACTTGTTAGTGACAATACCCTTCTACAACAATTCAATTTTTGGATGCGTTCTAGTTTAAAGTTTAGAGCGTTAATTAGTGTTAACTAAGCCTTCGGACTAATGTCTTACGACATTATAATTTGCGTAAGATTATTTAATTGTAATTTGCGTGATACTGGTAGTAGGACGTGTTATGAGTCCGCACGGGTAGGTACCACCACCCTGCCTATCTCTGCCGTGAAGCAGTAATGCGTTTCGGTTCGAATGGTAGGGCAGCTGTTGTAATGTAAAAACTGAGATCTCAAGGTAGGGTGGGGGCATTTACGTTCTTTATTATGTTGCTATTGTTTAATTATGTCTATGGGCTCCGGTAACCACTTAATATCCGGTAGGCCGTGAGCTCGTCCAGCCACCTAAGCAATAAATAAATAAAAGTTAAGGTGCTTGTAGTTATAGTCCGGATGTCAGATAGTCACAGTAAGCCGATTTTCTCAAGCTCACCTCTGAATATAATGCAAAATATCTTTAGCAGTACATACATTTTAATAGTAAATTTAAATGTATATCGTAAATAATTGCGTGTCCAAATTTTGTTATCAATGTTAAGAAACTTCGTTGTAGGTAAATCACATGCCATTAATTTTAATGAGTATTTTATGTAGTTATGAAGCAGAAAACAAAATATAAAGTAATTGTTAACAAATTCAATTATGTACAGTATGCTCTTTTATTGTGCAAATGTTTTTGTACAGTAAGGAACGAAATATGTCTGAAGACTTACCGGTTCACCTTCCTTCCACTGCCTCGCGCTCCCTGGGCTCAGCGTCGTTTCCGGAGGTGGGACCGTCTGTCCCTTGACTGGTACACGATGAACAATTGTCGCTGGTTCTAATGGTTACGCGTGACTTGCGTTGGGTAATTTTTGTTGTTTGTAATAAAGAATGTCTGCCGCGGAACGCGTGTGCTAAGTTACTATACGACGGCGACCTCTGCCCGTAGGCTTGGAGGGGTTGCTCAGCAAGCTTCTGGTTGGCTAGCCGGCCGTCTACAGGCGAGATCGAACCTTACTGTACCTAGGTTAAGATTTGTGTTGTCTTGAAGATGTATTGCCTAATACTCGATATTAATAAAAATACAGAAACACGAAAAATCTGTTTCAGTACGAAACATGCCGCTCACCTTAAAATAATGNCCGGACGGACCGCCTCGACGGTACGGAGGCCGGCCGACGGGTCCGCCAAGCGGCGAGACCACGCCTCCAGCACGGACCGCCGAGATTGGAGCCTCCGCGCTCGAACTACTCCTTCGCCGGGGCGCCCTTCCCCCCTAGAGCGGAGGTCGCTACGCCACCGGTAATCGGCAGCGAGCGCCTCCGCCTCCAGGTCCCAGGGTGGCGCCCCGGCGAGCAAGCACGCCGCCTCGAAGGAGACGGTGCGGTATCCTCGGATCGCCCTGACCGCGATCGCGCGCTGCGGACGTCGCAGCGCGGCGACGTTCTGGCGGGTCAGGGCGTGGCACCATACGGGCGCGCCGTATAGTGCCATCGACCGCACCACCCCCATGTAGAGGCGGCGCGCCACCTGATCGGGACCCCCGACGTTTGGAAGGAGCCGGCTCAAAGAGCCGGCCGTTGCCATCAGCCGAGGGCCCAACTTCTCAAAGTGAGCGCGGAAGTTCCACCGACCGTCCAGTTCGAGGCCGAGGTACCGAAGACCGGTCACCCCGACCCCGACGCAGACGCCTCCGATCACGAGGTGGGCACCCACAGGCGGCGCTCGTCCCGGCCCGTGAAAGAGCAGGGCCTGGGTTTTGTCGAAGCGCATAAGTGGCCTAACCCACAATTTTTTTATATTTAAACTTATATGACGTATATTCGAATTTATTTAAAATATAATAAATTTTGATGCAAAACCGGCCTATCCATAATTTCACCCATAGATAACAGATAGCTTTGTAAGCATTATTTTTGCGCGTATTGTTTTTTTGCTTACTCAAATTCAAATTCATGAAAATTCAAACCTAATTGCCCAATTATCATAGTATTATTGTTTGTTGGAACTTTAAGATAGTGCATTTCACAACCGGATATACTCGTACTGTTTTTTTTTTTTTTCTATTTTTGCTATTCTTTTTAGATAAATAATAGAGTGAATAGGAAGTATGCAGTGTAGTATTGTCGTTTTCAATTGAGGCCATCAGCGCATAAGTGGCCTAACCCACAATTTTTTTTATATTCTAACTTATATGACGTATATTCGAATTTATTTAAAATATAATAAATTTTGATGCAAAACCGGCCTATCCATAGTTTCACCCATAGATAACAGATAGTTTTGTAAACCTTATTTTTGCGCGTATTGTTTTTATGCTTACTCAAATTCAAATTCATGAAAATTCAAACCTAATTGCCTCCATACTGACTATGGTAACCTTGCGCTGATGGCCTCAATTATTAGTAGTGTTAGTTTCATTGTAGTTTTCCTCCTGCACAATTCTTCATTCTGTTAAATCTAGGGCAGTAATCCTCAAATTTCATTCTAGCGTTACACTATTAACGGTTTTCAAAATTTGAAGCTACACAAAGAAAAAAAATGGAAGTTGGTTTAATTACTTATAATTACTACCCACTTAATACGCTGTGTTAAATAGTTTGATAATAATATCCAAAGTAAAATTTGGCGGCAAATGTAAATGCAGCGGCAATGGTCGAGAATCTCTTAAAACTAGTTGGGCCGCGAACTCGCTCATATATCTTTGCAGCCCAAATTAACATAAAAACGAATGTGACCCAGTTTCAGATAAATTATATAGCTTTTATTAAGTATTAATCTTTATTTTGAATGTATCTGCATTTTGTATTACACGACATTAACCTAAAAATTTGTTATGGACGGTCTAACACCAGGTGAAACTAGATCTCGCCTCCTAATCTACGCCAACGTATGCAGATAGCCCTTTAATGCTCGATTTCGATTTACTTATAACAATCTTGCATATTAAAGTCTGTGTTGTCGATAAATAAGCCGGCCCGAGCACCTGGAACTTTAGTACTTTCTTCATTTCGTTTTTTTTTCCTATCTAAGCTGATGGTCTTGAGAGACCATATCAGCGCAACCGGGCGAATAGGTGAGCTCACGAAGCTCAAACCTGACGTTGTTGCTAACATGAACCCTAGCGAGAGCCGTGTTTTGCAAAATCTACCACCGGATCGGAAGCGCGACCCACTGAGAAGATCCGGCGAGAAACTCAGTGAGCTGTGTCTGTGGGTTCATTTACTCTTCGAGCCCTTCGTCGCAAGCGTCGGGTTCGACGAGGATGATGACCGGTGCTTGGGGTGTCTAAAAGCACCGTTAGTGGATCAGGAGGATCCGAAATGACGTGTTTTGGGTGACGTCGACTGTTTACCATTCGGTCCGCAGGATCGGGAATGAGACTACCTTACAGTCCTATAAAATAAATAGATGCCATTGTTTAACCCACCCAGTGACAACATCAATCAAAGTGTCAATTGTATAATGGTTATTTTACCGTTCAAAATGAACGCATATCAGTCGAATCAGACAGGGTGGTGATACCAACCCGAGCGGTCTCACAGTAAGCACTAAAACTTAGAGACCAGATGCAAAACCTGCAGAATGATGGGGAATAAGTAAATCTATACTAATATTATAAAGCTGTTTGTTTGTTTGTTTGAACGCGCTAATCTCAGGAACTACTGGTCCGATTTGAAAAAATCTTTCAGTGTTAGATAGCCCATTTATTGAGGAAGGCTATAGGCTATATAACATCACTCTAAGACTAATACAAAGGGAGCACCAATAAAGAATGTTTCAAAATAGGGGTTTAAATAACTCCTTAACATTCTATAATTCAAAAAATATTTTCACTTTCTACGTAAATGAAGTTGCGGGTAAAATTTAGCGTTATGCCAAAGTAACTATTCCACGCGGACGGAGTCGCGGGCAAAACCTAGTTTAATCTATATGCCAAATCAAAACAATCAATTAAATTGAAATAAAATTTATTTAACCTCAGGAATAGTATGAATCTACAAGCTAATTATTTCTTACTTAATTAATTATATTTACAAAAATATAATATATCTGAAAACAAAAGAAAAATGAACGAATTTTAAAGACATTTTATATTACAATGATAAAAAATTTGGCAAAATACATGGTTAACATATTATTATCAATACATTTGAAACTTATAAGCTAGTTGTGATTATTATTAATCCTATATTTACATTATAATTTACAAGGTCCGTTTATTATTAAAATGTATTGAATGTTGATTGTTGTAATTTACTCTTTAATACGATTTATTTACAATAATGAGAACAAAATGATACATAATAATTTGACTTTGATAATTTTTTATACGGTCCATTTCTATTTTTTTTTAATTTACAAATTTCACATTCGCTGTCGTATTTCGAATTTTAAATTCAATATTTTGATTTTGCCTAAGTTCACTGTCGTTGGGTGTTTGGTGACGGAGTTCCGTTGACCGGTGGCTGGACCATGGCTAGATGGGGAGGCAGACCCATGGAGGTCATCGGCCTTCCTTGCAGCAGGGCGTGAGGATGGAAGAACTGGTGCAGCGCGGGGTGGGGAGGGTACAGAGGATGTGGATGCCTCGAATACTGGGCCATTTTGATTTTCTCGATCTCCGCCTCCTGCATTCGCTTCGCCTTCGCCCGGCGATTTTGGAACCAGATCTTCACCTGTTGAAATCGAAATTTAGGTCAGACATCTGTATGCTAATAGACGAATTAATTGCTAATTAATTAACGGTTAGGCGACAGTTGCTATTTTTAATTGGGCGTTATCGTTAAACGTCACTAGGTTATATGTTTATTACCGTCATTAATTTATTTTAATTATGACGTGACGGGATAGCGAACGATTTTTTTTATTTAATTCAATTTAATTTGTGATTTTCACATTGCCACAATTCGATGTTTATCTATCTATATATATAAAAATGAATTGCCGTTCGTTAGTCTCGCTAAAACTCTAGAACGGCTGGACCGATTTGGCTAATTTTGGTCTTGAATTATTTGTGGAAGTCCAGAGAAGGCTTAAAAGGTAGATAAATATGAAAATGCTCGGAATTACATAAAAATAACAATTTTGTTTTTTCTTTGATGTGTCCCCCGCCGGACGGATTCCTTTTGTTTGTTTTAAGTTTATTTTATAGTTACAAAAGTTTAGGTCTTTTATTTATCGATTGAGGCAGAAGTCTGCCGGGTCAGCTCAGTAAAATGGTGGTCATTTACTGAGATTTTTTCAGTGGACTTTTTGGAGGATCCCGAGAAGTTACGTCCAGCGGCTTTGTTTCATTTTCTCACATTTGTGCACTTTCACAAATATTAATCAGCTAATAAACCACCCTTAATACACATTTAAATCTGAAGGAACACTAAATAGACAAAATAAAACAAATCACGCAACTTCACTCCTCGCGTTCCCGCCAAAAAGTCCACAATAGTATTAGTTTCAAAGTCTAACCTGTGTCTCAGAGAGGCCCAGTAACGATGAGAACTCAGCTCGCTCTGCGATACTCAGATACTGTTTCTTCTCGAACTTGCTCTCCAAGTCCCTTAGTTGTTGCGCGGTGAAGGGCGTCCGAGGTTTCCGATTCGGTTTGTGCTTTCTTAAGTTGCACTTCAACTTGGCCGGCTCCCCGTTCGCGTCTGTGAAAGGAAAACGTATTGAATATAGCTTGTTTACTGTGAGATTTTGGAATTCGCCTTAAAATAAGGCTTATAATCGCATATCTAACTAAATGGTGCGCATCGCTTGACGTCTCTGAGGGTTCTATCTATATATTAATACGTGAAGCAAAAACTTTGTATCCCTTTTTACGAAAATTGCGCGGACGGAGGAGTATGAAATTTTCCACACTTATAGAGAATATAGAGAAGAAGTGCACAATGCTAATATTTTTTTAAAAATAATGCATAAAAGATACATTAAATCAATAAAAAAAACATTACACACACTACATACCATGTATTTGACGCACACACGCATGCATACTATTTATTTTCAAACTTTTGTTCTTGGCGTCTGTTGTCAAATTGAGAATAGATTAAATATTGTTTGTCTTTGTTAATATTTTTTATAGTGTAGCCTTGGCGAAATTTGTAATTATAGAAGTATAAAATACAATCATAATAGTGTACAAACTTACAATTCCAATTAAGTATAGTCGAATTTCGACTACTGCGGGACCTCTAGTTGGATTAATTACATTCGGTTTGTATTATAGTAGTATACGTTGTTAATTTTACTAATATGTAATTTCTTCATATTGATATGGGCTATCAAGAATATTTCGTATTATTTATTTTCTGTTTAAACATTTAACAAGATACTATTGTATTGATGTACTATTTAAGTTTATTAGGTACTATTTGACTTCGAATCTATCTATCTATACTAATATATAAATCTACAGTGATTTTTACGGATGTTCCGTTAAAACTACTGAACCATGCGTCCGATTGACTTGAAAATTGGTATCCATGTAGAAAATACATGTACTTAATGGATAGGCTAATATTTATATGAGTGTTGGACTCCCTAATAATAATAACAATAAGTAATAATGTTAATTTTAAATGCCTAGCGAAACGGGCGAGTACGGCTAGTCTATTTAAAAAAATCGATTTGTGTGTGTATGTTCCCTACAGAGCCCGAAAAAGTAGGTCCTATTTCCAAGAAACTTTCAGGAAATCTTCAGATCGTTCCAGCGGTTAATCCTGTGTGAAATTTGGCAGCGGTTGGATAAAAGGAAAATAACTAACAAATCAAGACCATTAACAATACTCTTTACTTTTAAATCACAACTTAAACTGTCACTTTTATTTCGAACTAGTTGACCCGGCAGCATAAAATAAACTTAACGCAAACAAAAGGAATCCTTCCGACGGGGGACACATCAAAGGAAAAGAAAAGTTGTAATTTTTATTTAATTCCGAGTATTTTCATATTTATCTACCGTTCAAACCTTCTCTGGACTTCCACAAATAATTTAAGACCAAAATCAGCCAAATCGGTCCGGCCGTTCTAGAGTTTTAGCGAGACTAACGAACGGCAATTCATTTTTATATTTATAGAGACAACGTCCCACGGAAATACTAATTCAAAACATCTATAATTATTACGAATCAACGCTACGTTACTTTTCTATAGAAAACATAAAACATAATGATTTATTTGAATAGCAGATAAGATTGTGAGATAGTCAGCTAAGCTGAAACACGCATAAAATACCATGATAGTGGGGATCATAAAGTTAGAAACAATCTTTATAGAAAGATCTTAATTGTACGACATAGTTTAGAGATAAGGGCGTTAAATAGGTACGTTTTCTTAGAAAATAAACCTATTGAGTTCATATTTGTGCGCATTCACGTGTTGATTCGATCGAAATAATATTTGAATGTAAGTTTTTAATCGTTATACTTTGAGGCTTAGTCTTAAAATTTATTTATTTGACACTGGGATTAAGAGATTTTAATATGATGATAGAAAGAAAGAAAAACCACTTCGAACGAAACGTGGGTGCATACCAGGACTTATGAAGATTTTTTACATCATAATCTATCGGTTACGCGTTTTCATTAGGTTTCAACTATTACCTAAGCTTGATACATTACGAAAAATTTCACTTCTCCTAATGAATAATTTCACTTTATGTCCTTCTTCAAAAGAGGCTTGTGGAGAGTATTAAGCGGTAGGCAGCGGCTTGGCTCTGCCCCTGGCATTGATGAAGTCCATGGGCGACGCTAACCACTCACCATCAGGTGAGTATGCTCGTCTGGCTATAAGGGCAATAAAAAAAAATTAAGCTTATGTGTGCTAGGCCAGCTCTATGGAATCCCCTACCTTACTGCGGTAGTATTTTATTAATGTTTCGGCTTCGTCTTTTGTATACACCCTGTATATAAAATACGACGGTCATAGCAGAAGACTGAATTAAAACAAAACGATACATCTCAATACAAAGAACGGGCGTCGTCGATAGGAATGTCCCGATACTCGATACCGTGAATACGGTAATAAAATCAAGAATAAAAGAAGCAGGAAACGAATGATTTAAAAATCGATTATGCTTTATTTATAGGTAGATAGTAAGTATAACAATTTAATAAATAGGATTCGATGAGTAAGATTATCTTAGACATTTATGTTTAATTTATTAAAATCTTTACTGACTATCCGTGCTATAGATTTCATAGAATAACAGAGGTTAGTAAAGGATTCATCAAAATAAGTCACGCTAAGTTTAAGTTTATATACCCATTTTAGGTTTTCTCGTAAAAACAAACCCTTTGAACACCAGGAGCATAAGCCAAATAATAAAATAATCTATTAATTAATATTAATACCCATTTTAGGTTTTCTCGTAAAAAAAACCCTTTGAACACCAGGAGCGTAAACCAAATAATAAAATTAAAAAAAAATAATACGCAAACACTTGATGCTTATCAATGCAGCTGGTTAGAAATCGGTTGACGCCCACGCTTAGCCGATGCGAATAATCGATAACGTTAATTATCGAGATTTTAAGTCTCGAACGAAGACTCGATTATTTTTTTTTGTAAATAATTCAAACGGAATCAATATTTATGGCGACAATTTGTTTCAAGATGTGAGAATTTAAGTTAAGTGGCTTAGATGATCAAATATATTTATGAATGCTACCGTATTTTAAAACGAAATTGTAGAAAGTTGAATGTAGTCAATGACACAGAAAAAGCGAATCAAACTTGAATTTAAATTCACTACCAAAGGTAACTATTTTCGATTCGATAAAAAGAATCATATTCTAAAATTGAATTAATATAGGATCTGAATACAATAAAATAGTGTGCAATATATTTTGAATTCAAAAGAAAATAGTTCATAGACAAACAAGGAAGTGCTTTATAATGTATTTTAACTATATATGTTGAATGCTATATAAAACCTAGGTGCCAGAGAATGTTTCGTATTTACAATAATTACGTTATCATCAAATTTTCAAAATAACGACAACAAATGAATTCGCGGTGAACTAATAAATTTCGAAGTATTAAATTACTAAATCGTCGGAATTAAAAAAAAAAAAAAACTAAAAGCTAATTTATTTTGAACCATAACGTTTGTGATCTCCGTCAAAGCCACGTTTCAATTTAAAATGGTAATTTATTATTAATAAAATGAAGACTTGTGAATATTTATGACAGGTCGTTTTAATTTTATAGACTGTCCTACATTACAATCAACTAATTGCCACATAAGTCCTAATTAATGTTTATAGGCGCTGATTGACAGCTCAACACGTGTATGTGACAGATTATTAAGTCGCATGAGAAAAAATTCTTAATATAGGTGGCTTGGAACTGGCTATAAACTGTCATCTTGACACATGACAGTTTATAACTGAGAGAAAGTGTTTAAATTTCGAACTACCGTAATGATTGGGTTTTTTTTAAAAATATTTACGTTAAAAAAGACCAATGGAGTTTCTGTGATCGAAATACAAAATGAAGAATTCCTTGATATAATTGAGGACATGAGTGGATGAAGGGGATATGATACAATTTGTTAATTTTGTTACTTGTACATTTCTACGTACGTAACTCCTTTATCACATGTAATTTCTAAAAATAGCCTTTAAACCCAGTGTTTTAAGGTCTAATATAGTATATGTAACACCAGAGATGAGGTTTATGTCTCAATGTAAAGACTCAAAAATCTTAAAAATGGTACTTAACAGCTTCATCCACTTATGTCTTCAATTATTAGAAAACAGGTCTGCCTTTATTATAAGAATTTAAGATGGCATTCTGTTTGCTTACTGTCTCTCAGAATTAAAGACATCCTTACCTAATTATTTTTGTTGGAACTATTGTTGTTAAGAAACAAAAATATCCCTTACATTAAAAAAAATTATTCTCACTTAACTGTGAAAATAACTTAACTATCCATGTTTCATTTGAAATACTAAAACTGAAAATTACAAATTTTACCTAAATCAAGGCTCATCTATAAGCAGATCAACTGGAAACGATTGCCGAATATTTACTATCTTTAATGTTTGAGAGATTACTGGTGGCCCGGAGACCTTTCTAGTTTTACCAGGGCAGGTGGGCGAGCAAGGGCTCAGCCAGGAGGAGTGGGATGTGCTAACAGCTACCCGAGCGCCTTCAAAGGAGACCTAACAACTCAAGAGTAGCTGCTTCGCGAATGAATCTACTGCCGGATTGGAATCGCGACCCGTTGAGAAGATCCGGCGAGAAACTCAGCAGGCTGATGTTTAGGTTAGATTGCATGTCGAACTCTCTGCCGTGTTCGACGAGTACGGTTACCGGTGTCCCTACTCCTAGTGTTAGAGCTAAAGGTGTCTAATGCAGGGGTTATTGGATCTGATGGATCCGTAAGGACGTGTGGAATATTTACTATTCTACTCATAACAGCGTTTCCTACGGTGACGTCTCCCAAGATTTCCCACATTAATTACCTAATGTTTTAATGCGTCAATGTGTTCTATAAACAAAATACCCACCAAACACAGACACTTTTTCGCGTGCTCCCAAAATTTATTATTATTCTTGACGATTATAAATTGTCGAAATGTACGTCATAATTTAAAACCGTCCAACTGACGTTTTCGTTTGAATTATGCAAATGTCATTGTAAC